TGTAAAAATAATTTTCAAAATTTTCAAAATATTTTTTTGATATTTATTTTTGTCAAATTAGTTTATATTTTATCAAATTGACAATTTTACTTTTGAAATTAAGTAATGGTATCTTCAATTGTCCTTATTTAGAACAAGATTCAAAATTTAAGGTCAAATATGTCACGATTGAAAAGTTAGGAACCAAAGTGACATGAGTCTTAAACTATAAGGATTATTAGTGTAATTTGCCCATTAAGCAAAGCTTGAGACTTCAATTACTTTGTTGATTGGAGGTGGGAAACTTACCGAAAAGCGAAATAGTCTTGTCCGCAGTTGTAGTACGAAGAGAAGCTATAAACTTTATAAGTCTCCGTTTGGGAAGTGGGTTGATTTTTTGATTTTTTTGATTATTTTAGCCTGAGTTAAAAAGCTTGGTTTGGGAAGGACTTTTTGGCTTTTTGGCTTTTTTGACATTTTTTGTGAAAGAAAAATGTAATAATTATGGGTTAGATGTGATGTTTTGTTTGTTGTGACTAAAATAGCTTATTTTATCTTTTGTGACTATTTTAGCTAAAAAAGCCTCTTCCCAAACAGAGGCTTAAGAGATAAAAAATAATTTATTTAAAAATATGTTACGATTTCTCATTAGCTGAAAATAATCGCATGAATAATGACAAATAATACTCCCAAAGTATCTAATAGGTTTCTTATAAAGTGAAACCTAATTTCTAATTAATTAAGCAAAACTTGGGACTTCAATTACTTTGTTGATCGGAGGTAGGAAACTTACCGAAAAGCTATACACTGCTTAAAAATATCCCGTGTTAGTATATTATTCTATGTAGGGTATATTTCTTTTCCTTTTACTTTACTTTATTAGTGCCACTTTCGGCTCCTCTCCTATATAGAGGAGTTCAACTGAACCTTTGTAATATCAATAAATCAACAACATTCAATATCAATCAATATATACACAATTTATTTTTCTCTCTCTCTATCAATTTATCTTACTAAGCAAAGCTTGGGACTTCAATTACTTTGTTGATCGGAGGTAGGAAACTTACCGAAAAGCTGTACACTGCTTAAAAATATCCCGAGAATAAATTATATGTTGTAAATATAAATTAAATGTGATGTGGGTAATATTTAGAAAAAATTTAATTTGCACAAAAATATTTTTTTAGAATAATTAATATTTAGAATGTAAATTAAAATAATCATATTTTTTTTCTATTAACATATTTTTTTAATAGGTAGATTTATTGTCCAATATAATTGATAATATTTTTCATCACACACTATTAAAAAAATGTCACTAATCATTAATTTTTAGCGACAATTTAAAAATTTTGTCAAAAAAAATATCATTACTTATAAGTTTTAGCAACGGTTTAAAAAAATCGTCACCAAAAATGTTACTAATTTTTAACTTTTAGCGACAGTTTAAAAAATTTGTCGTAGAAAATTGTCACTATTTGTAAGTTATAGCGACCATTTATGAAAAATGTGATAAAAAAATAATTAATTGTTAACTTTTAGTGATATATGTTAAACATCGTTACAAAAATATATATTTAATGACGATTTTATTAAAATTTATTCTAAAATTTAATAAGAATTAAATCTAACTATTAAAACTTCTCATTTTCTATTTTGGAGTGCCTTATGTTGCATATTGGGCAAGAATCCATTCCAACTCCACACCACTAGACGTGCACAAGTTCTACCAGCGTTGCTTTTCAACCACAAAAGATGGGTACTTAAATCTATGAACATAAAGCCTTATGTTGCATATTGGGCAAGAATCCATTCCAAATCCACACCACTAGACGTGCACAAGTTCAACCAGCGTTGCTTTTCAACCACAAAAGATGGGTACTTAAATCTATGAACATAAAGCAAATTCCTCTTTATGGCTGGGCTTCCCTCCAGACTGGAGAGCCCAGCCTGGCTCATTGAGCTTATTTTTTTGGCTTGTTTTTTAATAATTTAAATTATTCATATTTTAAATTTGTTGTATATTATTTCTGTAAAAAAATCACGTAGATCGGATAACGGATACCATGTATTCGGATCACTTTTTTATGAACTGTTAATTTTCTGACTGTTCATTTTTTTCAGACAAAAGTGATCTAAATACATAATATCCGTTATTCAATTGACGTGATTTTTGACAGGAATAATGTACTGAATAAATTTTAAAATATGAACAGTTCTAATTATTAAAAAGAGGGCCAAAAGTGAGCCCAATAAACCAAATTGAGCCGAACTGTCTCAGGTGTGAACCGGGGATAATCCGTATATATTCCTTTTTTTTAGGTGTTTACTATTCTCACTTTCCCAAGTAGTTACAATGCTATATGTACTCACAAAGGGTTATAATAAAAAGGATCAATTACACTTTTGTCATCTTTATATTTGGTTACTTTCTCATTTTAATTTTTAAAGTTTATTTTTTTTCACTTTGTCCCTGTTTCAAGTAGTTTTTTTTTTTTTTAGTTTACTTGTAAAACTAACTTCTGTTAAAAATTAGATAAAAAATGACATTATAACTATCACATAATATAAAAAATATATTATTATATTAAAATTTAAGTTTGTATTAAATGAATGAGTTATTATAATAAAATATTTTTATATAAGGTGACTGTTAATGTGTTATTTTTTATCTAATTTTTAACAAAAGTTAGTTTTAGGAGAAAAATTGAAAAAACTTAAAACGTGAAGGACTAAAGTGAAAAAAAAAAAAAAATAGGAGTCAAAGTAAAAAAATAGTTAAACATAAAAAGAATAAAATGTAATTTACCCTAATAAAAATGTCACAAAAGCTTGGTAACAAATCCTATTACAAAATATTTGTAAAAAATTTAAAATTTTGTAATCAATCATAAACGCTCCTAACTCCACCTTTGTTTATGGTACATACTTTCTTAACTATCAACACAAAAGTTCATAATTAACCTCAAAATGAATTTAAATCACATTATTTTTAAGGAAAAATTATAAACCCAAATCATACAAAGTGTTAAATTTGAATTACATATTTTTATTTTTTTTGAAATTTTCAAAAGTAATTTTTTGAGTTCTCAATCCAAACTTTTTTTTTTTATTTTTAGTGAATTTTTTTAAAAAAATTTAATTATTTTTTTTTAGTTTGTAAATTCACTTAATTTAAGTATGCTTAAAGAGTATAAAATTTGTACAATTTTTTTTTAAAAATTTACTGAGTACAACAAAATACGAAAATATATTGAATTTTGAATTTTTTTTTTTTTTTTTTGTCTTCTGAGAAGGTAATTTATATATAAATTGGGCCGAGTTAGGTAATGGGCCATTCTATAGGCCACGGTAAGAAGGGCTGAGTAAAAGGGCCTTGTAATTAGTTCGGTCCGAAGGAGCTTGGTGGTTAGCTCGGTCACCACAGTTGGCACGGTAACAGTTAGCTCGGTCATACAATGTTGGGCCGAAGTATGTTGAGCTTTCCTCAGAACCTTGCTATTGGTTAGTTTGGCCCAAGCTCATTGTGGATAGCACGGTTTCAGACAACCCAGTTGGAATGTTAGCCGAGGTACACGCGCAGTGAAAGGAAGAATAGGGCTAGTTGGAGCTCGGTCTAGTCTGCGGCTTTAGCGTGGTCATGTTATCTCGGTCGTATTGACATCCAACCATGGTAAAACCATCTCACTTGGTTTAAGCAGTGAGGGGTGTTGAGGGATAAACATTATCTTTTAAGAATGTGATTCCTATGAGAACTCTACATGGAGGAGTAAGAGTCCTACTAGGATTGTGCCACACGGAACCTATAAAAGCTCATAACATCACCTATGGAGAGGTAACACAACTTTGATTCCCGAATATACAAAGCTTTTTGTCTATTTGTCTATTTTGCTGACTTAGGCATCGGAGAGGTATCCGACACACACCTGCCGGCTAGCTCACGTTTGTGTTTTCAGGAAGTAAAACGACGTCGTACGGAGGAGCACAGACTTGATCAACAGGATTATACGAGAAGGTTTATTTCTTTCCCGTACATATTCAATGAATTTTTATAAAAAAATTTGCACAAATTTCATACTTTTTAAGTGTATCTAGATTAAATGAATCAAAAATAAAAATAAAATCAGTTAAAATATTTCAAAAAATACTAATAACAAAAAAAATACGGATTAAAAATTAATAAAACTATTTTTCAAAATTCCAAACTTTAAATGTAAACCTCCCACGTATTCTGTGGCCATTACCGATACATGATTAACTATTTGCACACAATATGTGTGCCAAGAGACTAGTGATTTTACTATCTAAAAAACAAAAAGAAAAAGGGACTTAGTCAATTTGCACTCATTGTGTGTGTCAAAAGATTACCACTAAAATATACGACTAAATCATATTATTAAAACAAAAATGCTTCATATCACTAATTTTATACCACTAAAGCACCACTAAATGACATGGCATCATGTGAACTCCATTTTTGATATGATAGTTTGGCCTTTTTGTTTTTTTTTTTTTTGTTTTTCTTACACTTGCCAACTCATTAGTGATACTTTTAAAACATCCAATTTAGTGTTCTAAATCGAGACTGTTATTAAAATTCTCACTTCCTATGTAATTTCTTACGTGATATAATAAATTTTATTAACTTTTAAATATAGTAAATTTTGCATATACACATAACTTTTATTACATAAATACACATACAAATATAAGATAAAATAAATCTTCGTGAGTTGAATGTTAAAAAGAATTTTGAGTTGTGTGTTTAGTTATTAATTATAAGTTTTTTAATTAAGTTTTGAAAATTCTTTTCAAAATTCATAACCAAACAATTTTTCTCATTTCATATGCCACATCAAAAATTCAAAACTCATAACCAAATTTTTTTTCTCTTTTCAAATCATAATTCCAAAACTCACAAACTCAAAATACAACTCTATTTTCAAATCATAATTTTAAAACTCTACCAAATGCTATCATAATTTCTCTCAACTCCTATAAGTAGGAGTATAGTTTGACTGCTGTGGTAGTCTTCTTCTCTCGACCAAAGGCAAAGAGACAGTGAATTGACATGAACATGAACATGAAGACGAAGAGTAGTAATTCAATATTGGGGTGGTCTTATTTGATGATGTTGATGAAGAACAATTTGCCTTATATATGCATGGTGGTGTGCAATATTGTATATGCAGGGATGGCCTTGTTCGCAAAAGCTGTAATTTCTAAAGGAATGAACCCTTATATCTTTGGTGCTTATCGTCAAGCTTTTGGCACTCTTGCCTTGGCCCCTTTTGCTTTCTACCTTGAAAGGTCAGCTTTTATTTATTTATTTATTTTTTGTGTGTGTGTTTTGCTCAAAATGGTGTTTGTTTGGAGTTTAAGCGGAGTATATATAATTTTTCATCCCCTATAGCAAGCGAATATCGAGCCTTTTGTCTTGAAACACCTTCAAAAGGAACCCATAACCAAATTTTTTACTATTGCTCCATTCTTAAAATTTGAGTTTGTGATTTTGAGAGAGTTTTTTTTTTCTCCTCTTTTGTTTGCGAGGGTGTCCAGTTTCACCCGTATATGTAGTTTTTCATCCCATATAGAGCAAGTGATTACTAGGCCTATGTCCTCGTAGCATCAAAAGGAACGAAGAAAGAAGTTTTCTACTATTGGTCCACTCCTAAAATTCAAGTCCGTGACTTTGAGAAGTTTTTTATAACAAAAATTTTGCCTGCTTACTCACAACTTTGTCTAGAGTTTCACCTGAGTATATGTAATTTTTCATCCCACATATATATAGGGATGACAATTTAAATCCGGCCCAACGGGACCCAGACCACCCCGTCCACAATAAGACGGTTTTTTTCGAAAATTACCCCCCATACGACCGGGGTTGGTATTAAAAAATAGATCTCCGATAGTTTTTGGGCCGGGGACAAAGATAGGTTCTCCCGCCCCGGCCCCACCCCAAACCTATCCTCGAACCTATCCCCATATATATATATATATATATATACTTTTCTATTCACTCAATCACTTCTCTTCTCTACACTACTCTCGTTTCACCTGAGTATATGTAATTTTTCATCCCACATATATATAGGGATGACAATTTAAATCCGGCCCAACGGGGACCCAGACCACCCCGTCACAATAAGACGGTTTTTTTCGAAAATTACCCCCCATACGACCGGGGTTGGTATTAAAAAATAGATCTCCGATAGTTTTTGGGCCGGGGACAAAGATAGGTTCTCCCGCCCCGGCCCCACCCCAAACCTATCCTCGAACCTATCCCCATATATATATATATATATATACTTTTCTATTCACTCAATCACTTCTCTTCTCTACACTACTCTCTCTCTCTCTCTCTCTCACCCTAATCTAGATTTCGTCTTCGTCTTGGTCTCGCCCTAAACACCTCCTCTCTCTCTCTCTTCTCCTCACCTCCGTTGTTGCCTTGTCACCGACTCACCACTAGTCGTCAATCGAAGAACCACCGTTTTTATCGGCAGTGGTGTTGATATCATTACCACTTGTGACATTAGTCGTCGCGATTGCTGAATTCGCGATGTGAAGGCTCCAAATCTGTTGGATCTGTGACAGATCTGAGATGTGAAGGGTTCGGATTTACACCCCACTTTCTTTGACAAGTTTCTCATCTTCTCTCTCAAGTTGTTGTCAGTATCTTTCTCTCTCCTAGGGTTAGGGTTTTCAGATACCGAACTAGAGACCACACAAACCACCACCACCATCACCATGTCGACTTCGAAGACAATCAGGGCACTCTCTTCGATCTCATCCTGGTTTGATCTCTTTGGTAGTTGATGTGTTGTGTATAATGATTTTGTTGTTTTTTGTCTCGATTTATAAGTTATTCGTTTAATTTTTTTAAAAAAATTTAATTTAATTTAATTTAATTTAATTTAATTTAATTTTATTTATTTTATTTTTGTATTTGATGTATTGAATTGGAACTTAAATTTGCAGATTTTAGGTTGTTTTATGTAAATTTATAGTTTTGTAATTAGGGGATTGGTGAAATCCTAGATCTTGATTGTTGCTCTTTTTGTCTTTTTTTTTTTTTAATTTTCCTTGCAATTATTATTATTATTATTTTGGTGGATTATATTGTTGAATCATGAACAGAAATTGTTGGAACAATCTTTTGTGTACAATAAATAAATTGAAACTAAATCAAACAAATAAAATAAATAACGTACCGAATTTATTTTATCGAACTGAATGAATAATAAAAAAATCAAGTCGAGTGTGTGACACTTTGTCTTTAAGACAGATTCGCCCCGTTACGGTGCTTATGGACAAGTGGCGTCTATCTCCCAGGATACAATGATCTTCACAAATTGTAGTAGCACTCCAAACAACTTGTACGGCAAACAAAACCTAGTGTTCTATACTCTCTTTAATTTTTCTAAAAATAATATGAAGAGAATTTATGCAAAGGAACAAAATCGGACAGCAAAATGATGATTTTCAGATTTGGAAAAATCTGCTGGAATGTCTAGGAATTTATAGGACTGAACAGGTTTAATTATTCAAACTGAACAGGTGGAATTTGAGTCCAACAGGTGCAAAACAATTTAAACAGATAATTGCTGGGCAGTTTATATTTGTTGGAAAAACTCCTGGAAGATTTGAATTTGTCTGGCAGTTTTAAATCTGTTCAGGTTCCAACAGATCTGAAAACTGTTTTGACTGTTTAACTTGTTTGGAAAAATTGGATTGGAAGAGGAAACATTGAACAGGAAATCAAATTCAAGTTTGAATTAATTTTGTTAAGAATTTTTGGAAAAAATTCAAATAAATTTCCTCTAAAAATTAATATTAGAATCAACCCAACCCACAACCGCGCCCGGCACGACCGGACGGACGATGGTGGCAGCGCGCGCGTGTGTGGTGGTTTGGGCTAAGGTTCATTTTATCCATAACTCCTCCCTTCTATAAACTTGGGGTGCCCTTTGGAGCCCAACCCAAGTTAATACACCAAGAGCTTATATACTCACAAAAACTCTCTTAAAATTTCAATGTAGGACAACCCATTTTAAGGAAACCCACATTTAATTCTTTAAATATCCATTCTACGAACCCGAAAACGACGTCAAGTTCTCATTCACTCATAAATGGTTTTAACGAACCGTCTTCATCGTGTGACTTGCCACGCGGCAAGGAATACGTCACCTCTTCGGACTCACCTTAAAAGACGTGTGGACCCCACTTAATTTTGGACTCAAAGTTGGCCCAAAATAAGCCTATAAAAAACCAATTGTTTCCAACATAAACAACTATAAACAATGAAATGTTTTCTTTGTGATGAATTGCTACTTGAATTGCCACAATCTCGGCCCTCTTTGGTGTAATTCATTGGGGTTGGTTATAGTTTTTTTTTTTTTTTTTTTTTGTGGGCCGGGAAATTTTCAGGGTCGAGGAAACCCAATTCCCGTTAGGGTGTGGGAGCAGGGACGGTGATAGGTTCCCTGTCGGGGATTGGGGCCGAGAATGGGAGAATTTTCACCATCGAGGATTGGGGACGGGGAGTGTGATCCCCGGCCCCACCTTGGCCCGTTGCCATTCCTACATATAGCTGGCAATTATTGAGCCTTTTTCCTGGGTAACCTTAAAAAGAAATGGGAATTTACATATAGGTCTTAATATATAGACTTATTGTTCAATAGAGTATATGATAATTAATGACATTTTTCATCAAACACTACTAAAAAACATCACTAATTGTTAATTTTTAGTGACCGTTTAAAAATTGTCACAAAAAATGTCACTAATTATAAGTTTTAGCAATAGTTTTAAAAAAGCGTCACCAAAAAAAAAGTCACTAATTTTCAACTTTCAACTACAGTTAAAACAATTTGTCACAAAAAAGTCACTAATTATAAATTTTTGCTACAATTTGTAAAGGGACATTTATACACAAGTCCTAATTTATAAACTTATACTCCATTAAATCATAACTAAGATTCTTTGGACATTCAAGTCCCATTAAATTTTTAATGGTCGGAATTGCCCTTCAAACAATGATTATTCATCATTTATGATTATCTATAAAGGAACATGATGATTTGACAATTATTTTGATTTTCGAAACTTTAAAATATCAATTTTCAAATTGAAAAAACTAAAAAATAAAATAAAAATTATGTCTTTGAAAAAATTGAATTATTTTTTGTGCAAAACTGAAAATTTTGTGTCTATAAAAGAGCATGATGATAGAACATTGATGTGCAAAACTGAAAAAAAAATTTTGAAAAAGCTAATAATATTCTCAGTTTTAAAACTGGAAAAAGCTGATAATGTTCTCAGTATTATTGGATAATTGAATCAAACCAATATATAGAAGGGTAAAAACGTTTAATCTCATGCTCTAATTTTTTTTTCATTAGTGGTTAGTGAAACAATTATTTGAAATATTATTACGTAAAATTGATAATTTTTTTAGTTTTAAAAATTAGAAAAAACTAATAATATTCTCAGTTTTACTAAATTGGATTAATTGGTTCCAAAAATCTTAAATAGAACCGGAGCTGCCATAACATTTGTAAATAGGACTTTTAAGTAATTAACTCCGTGACAAAAAAGTCACTTATTGCCAATTTTTAGCGACATATGTAAAAAATTGTCACAAAAAATTATTTTTAGCGACGATTTTACTATGATTTATTTTTAATAGAATTTGATAGAAATTAAGTCCAACTATTATGACCTATTGATAGTTCAGGTTAAAAGGAAAATAGAGAATGAAGGTTTTACTGTTGGTCCACTCTTAGAGTGTATTAAGATTGAAGGAGAGATTTACAGAAGTAAAGAAAAACATATGAAAAAAACAATAAAATATAAACTAAATTTGTGCCATTTTTTTCCTTACAAATCACTCCTCAAATTTTAAATTTAACTACAACCTTAAAGTCCGAGTCAGTGACTTCAAGAAGTTTTTTTAATATTGATCCAATCTTAAAATTGGACTCCATAATTATGAAAATTATAGGCCTTAACCAATTAGGACAACAACTTGGTAGCTAATTAACCCAAATGTTATTTTGTTGTCTTGTGAATTTATTTTTTTATTTATTCTTTAATTCTACTGGTGCAGAAAGAACTCTGCTCTGCTATCATGCAGCATACTCTGCAAGATCTTCTTGGTTTCATTGATTGGGTACGTGCAAGGTTAATACAGAAATATTTTGATTAAATTATTAATACAGAAATATTTTGATTAAATTATACTTTGTCATTTTTATGATTGGTTATTTTTTTAATTTGGTCCTTAAATTTTTTTTCTTCACTATAGCTAGGAGTGCAACTTGGGCGGGCTCAATCCGAGTAACCCGAGCCCAGGCCGATTTTTTTTAGGACTTGGACAAAATATTTTCAAATTTGGTACCGGCTTGGGCAAAAATTCAAAAATCCGAATTAAATTTGGGCGGATTTGGACAAAGACGTCAAATAACTTGAGCAACCAAATTATTAGCAATTACATGATATTAAAGTAATTTATATTATTAAATCATATTGAATATATATTATATATTCAAATAACATAAAATTTTACTTTTTTTTTCTTTTTATTTTCACTCATAAATTGTAAGGACTATTATAATGGCATCTCTGTTACATTATATAAATTATTTGTTTTGATGGTATTAATGATTTTTTATTAAAAAAAATTGTAAATAGAGTCAAATTTTAAGAATTTAATAATGTAGCTGCAAAAAAAAAAATTTAAAATTCATTTATAATTCGGGCAACTTGGACAATTCGAGTTTCACTCGGGTCGGGCTTGGACAGACAACCTCAGGGTTACAATTCGAGCTTGGGCGGATTTGGGCAGGTCTCAGCACAACTTGGGCTGGGCTTGGACAACCTCCCAACCAGACCGAATCCGCCCAAGTTGCACCCCTAATTTTAACCCTTTATATTTAAAGTTTTTTTTTTCTTTTCTTTTCAATTTATTCCTAAAACAAATTTCTGTTCAAAATTAGATATAAAATACCACGTTAGCCCTACATAACATATATTTTATTATATATAACTTATATATACATAAACCCAAGCTTCAATATGATAATATATTTTTGGGAGATTTACGTGTAGTATAAATAAATTTATTATCTAATAGGTCATATGAGAATTAATGGCATTTTTTATCAAGCATTATTAAAAAATGTTATTAATTATTAATTTTAGCAACAGTTTAAAAAATTCGTTACAAAAATAGTCACTAAATTTCAATTTTCAGCGACAATTTAAAAAATTTGTCACAGAAAAATGTCATTAATTATAAGTTTTAACGACAATTTATAAAAATTGTGACAAAAAAAAGTTACTAATTATCAATTTTTAGCAACATATGTAAAAAATCATCACAAAAAATTATTTTTACTTATTAGGACTTATTTTCAATAAGACTTTATGGGAATTAAGTCTAGCTATTAGAACCGATTGGTAGTTTACCCTATATTTCTATGTCACATGTCAAGTAACGTGGTATTTTATGTTTAATTTTGAATAGAAATTAGTTTTAAAAATAATTTGGAAAAAACTTGAAACATGAAGGGTCAAAGTGGGAAAAAAAAACTTCAAAAGCCGAAGTGAGAAAATAACCAAACATAAAAAAGGCAAATTGTAATTTACCTAAATAATTTTAATATTTTAAAATAAAATATGTTCTTTACCAAATAAACTTGTTTTCTATTGGTTAGGAAAAATATTTTTCATTCATTTTCATTTTTCTGTCTTAAAAAAAACACTGTTTATTAAAAGAATGTTGGGTCCAAACGTGATAATTTACTCTTTAATCTAACCATCCATGTTAATTATATGAAAAATTCTAAACATACATAAAATTATGTAGAATTTATTTTATTTTATTTTTATATTATTACTCTAATTATATTTAATGTTTTCAGGATTACGCTGTGCATAAATCTCTTGAATGTTTCATTTTGTTACGTCCCAGCAACATTTGCTTCTGCCACTACTAACACAATTCCTGCTATTACCTTTATCATCGCCATTCTTTTAAGGTACATCAAGAAATAAAATCCTAAATAAATTATATTTTTTATTTTTGTAATCTAATCCAAATTTTACTTTTAGTCTTATTGTTTTAATTTGAACCATGTTAATTACTTGTACTCCCATGTGACTCGTTTATGTCAAAAAAATTGTGATTTTTATTTCCATTTTGAACATAAAGGCCAAATTTAAACTTTAGGAACCAAATTGAATTTTGAAGCAAAATACAGTGTGAAAAGTATAATTTACACTAAACAAATAAAGAGTGATTTAGCGCACAAGCTCTTGGCACTTACTAAAGTCGATGTGATTCTCTCCTTTACATGAATAGAATGGAGATATATCTATTTCGTGATCAATAGTTGTAAAAGAGCTACATCAACATATTTTTATTTTAAATTCAAAAGCAGTTAAGGGAGATTTAAAATTCAAATTGATGTAACAATTATAAACCCCTTGATTTTGGATTTTAATGACATATTGCAACTTTATGCATGAAATGAAAGTCTCAATTCCAATCATGCAATTGATAGAATATAAATCATGCTAAACCAAGGTCTGGAAAGATAAGATGTGTACACAATCTTATTATTATTACTAAAGAAATTGATTTCACGATTCAATCTTGTATTATCAGGACGCTAATAATAAATCTTATCGTTATTTCTAAAGGAATTATCTTCATAAGTACTACCAAGAAGCTAACGACAAACCTAGTGGTTGGTATTTTTTTTAGGATGGAAAGCGTTGCCATAACTGAATGGAGTGGAGTGGCAAAGGTATTGGGTACAATGCTATGTGTTGGTGGGGCTGCGGTGTATTCTTTTGTGAAGGGGCCTCTTGTGTATCCACAGGCTGCCCAAGATCAAAATTCACACTCATATACAGGGTGTGGCACCAAAGCACAGTGCCTAAAAGGCTCTCTTTTTCCCCTCTCTGCCCAGGCTCTTTGCTCTTTGTGGCTTATTATGCATGTTCTCTCTCTCTCTCTCTCTCTCTCTCTCTCTCTCTCTCTGCCCAGGCTACTTGGTCTTTGTGGCTTATTATGCAGGTTCTCTTTCTCTCTCTGTGCCTAGGCTACATGGTCTTTGTGGCTTATTATGCAGGTTCTCTTTCTCTCTCTGTGCCTAGGCTACATGGTCTTTGTGGCTTATTATGCAGGTTCTCTTTCTCTCTCTGTGCCTAGGCTACATGGTCTTTGTGGCTTATTATGCAGGTTCTCTTTCTCTCTCTGTGCCTAGGCTACATGGTCTTTGTGGCTTATTATGCAGGTTCTCTTTCTCTCTCTGTGCCTAGGCTACATGGTCTTTGTGGCTTATTATGCAGGTTCTCTTTCTCTCTCTGTGCCTAGGCTACATGGTCTTTGTGGCTTATTATGCAGGTTCTCTTTCTCTCTCTGTGCCTAGGCTACATGGTCTTTGTGGCTTATTATGCAGGTTCTCTTTCTCTCTCTGTGCCTAGGCTACATGGTCTTTGTGGCTTATTATGCAGGTTCTCTTTCTCTCTCTGTGCCTAGGCTACATGGTCTTTGTGGCTTATTATGCAGGTTCTCTTTCTCTCTCTGTGCCTAGGCTACATGGTCTTTGTGGCTTATTATGCAGGTTCTCTTTCTCTCTCTGTGCCTAGGCTACATGGTCTTTGTGGCTTATTATGCAGGTTCTCTTTCTCTCTCTGTGCCTAGGCTACATGGTCTTTGTGGCTTATTATGCAGGTTCTCTTTCTCTCTCTGTGCCTAGGCTACATGGTCTTTGTGGCTTATTATGCAGGTTCTCTTTCTCTCTCTGTGCCTAGGCTACATGGTCTTTGTGGCTTATTATGCAGGTTCTCTTTCTCTCTCTGTGCCTAGGCTACATGGTCTTTGTGGCTTATTATGCAGGTTCTCTCTTTCTCTCATGAATCAGTTTTGCTACAAATATAAAAATTATTAAACATAGAAAATATATGAACGAAAAAGATTTTATTGAAGTTCTCCATCTGTATACATTTTTTGTCTAATCCTGTGATCAATTTTTGTATTCTTCTTAATAAATTTTGTAACGAGCACAAAAATTAGATACAAAATACACATGGATAGATAAAATTTTATAGAATTTATTGGTGAGATTTGAAAAATCTTGGCCATTTCTATACATTCTATTAGGGGTGCTAGCGGATCCGATTTGTGCGGTTTGCGGTTCGGTTTTGATCCGTCCGCACCTATGCAGTTTGGGAAAAAGTCAAATCACAACCGCTCGCAGTGCGGTTTGTGCAGATAGGGTTTGCGAATGTGCAGATGATTTGCGGTTTGAATTTTTTCCTTTAAAATTTAATTTTTGAGTTTTTTTTCCCATTTTGTAAATATTTATTTTGGGTTATTTTCTTCCAATTTTCTAAAATGCTTCAACATTAATAATTGATGAATTAAAACTTATAAAATTAAAAACACAACAAAATCAATTCGTAACACAAACAAATTATTCAAAATCTTAAATCAAATTATAAACTAACACAAGCATATATTTTAAAATTCTAAACTAGAACTCCATATTTATTAAGGAATTTAAAATTTCAAATCACACTTTATCCGGTACAAGTTCAGTTACGTAACAATAATAATATAATCAGTATTTATTCAGTTTTAGTTGATATAATACTATTAGTAATTGTAATACTAGAGTAAGTTCAAAGAATAAAGGATGTTTTGTTTTGGGCCAAAATATTAGGATATAGAAGTGAAATCAACGGTTAAAATAAAATAAATAAATAAAGTGTTGGCGGATTTTTGCAGGTGTGGGTTAAACCCGTAACTCGCCTGCAATTTGTAAATATGCCATATTTTAAACCGTATTTGCCTGCATTGTGTTTGCGAAATCGCCTATTTGTATGTGGGTTGGGCAAATTGGGGTGGTCAGCCTCCCGGAACAGTCGCCGTCGCCGCTGATGAGGTTTTGGGTGTTTTGAAGAACAATAACCCCAACAAGAGGGAGGAGATTGAGAAATTGTTGAACCCTATGTCGAATCATGATTTCGATTAGATGGTTTCCTTTGGGAACCTAATCACTGATTTCCAAGAAGAAGAAGACAATGTTATGATTGATGATAATGTGGGTTTTACTGTTGTGTTTGACGAGGAAGAAGAACAGAATGGTTTTGATGATGATGATCTTAAAGTTGAGACCAAGCTTTTGGGTCATCTCCAATTTGATAATTTCAGCCTTGTTAAGTGTTTGTTGCAGAACCGATTGAAGATTGTGTGGTGTACTCGTCTAGCCAGGGCCGAGGATCAGAAGACGAGAGAGAAGATTGAGGAAGAAATGTTGGAATCTGGACTGGAATTGGCTGCAATTCTTGAGCAATTGCAAGCCGATTGAGAGAGAGAACACAGAGAGAGGGAGAGTAGGAGACAGAGGAGATCAAGGCCTTCTTTTAATTTTTTTTTTCCAGGTACAAAACGACGTCGTTTTTACTTTGGCGACCAAATTTTTTTTGTCGCCAAAAAATTTCATTTCCCCCCTCCCTGTTTGAAATTTCCCTCCCAAACACTTTTGGCGACCAAAACACCATATTAGTGGCAAAAAAGCTACCTTCGGCAACAAATTTTTTTAGTCGCTAAATCTCAATCAATGGCGACTAAAATATTAGTCGCTAAAAGTACAAATTTGGTGACCAAATTTTTTTGGTCGCCAAAATGTAACCTTCCGCGACCAAATTTGAAGTTGGTCGCCAAAAGCATACCAATTTCTGCGACTAACTCATTTTTGGTCGCCAAAATGTGACCTTCTGCGACTAACTCATTTTGGTCGCCAAAAATATTGATCATTCGCGACTAATTAATATTTTGGTCGGCAAATGTCATTTTTTTGCGACCAAAAATCTTTTGGTCGGCAAAAGTGGTCGCCAAATGTGTAAATTCTTGTAGTGTAGATACAAAATACACATGGATAGATAAAATTTTATAGAATTTATTGGTGAGATTTGAAAAATCTTGGCCATATCTATACCTTCTATTAGGGGTGCTAGCGGATCCGATTTGTGCGATTTGCGATTCGGTTTTGATCCGCCCGCACCTATGCGGTTTGGGGAAAAGTCAAACCACAACCGCCCGCAGTGCGGTTTGCGGTTTGTGCAGATAGGATTTGCCAATGTGCAGGTGGTTTGCGGTTTGAATTTTTTCCTTTAAATTTAATTTTTGAGTTTTTTTTCCCATTTTGTAAATATTTATTTTGGGTTATTTTCTTCCAATTTTCTAAAATGCTTCAACATTAATAATTGATGAATTTAAATTTATAAAATTAAAAACACAACAAAATCAATTCTTGACACAAACAAATCATTTAAAATCCTAAAATCATTCAAAATCCTAAAATCATTGAAAATTAATCTAGTACCCAACAATACAATTAAAGTAAAATAATCCACAATCCTAAGCTAAATCATCAATCTCATTCTCCAACTACTTTGTTAACATTCTCCATCTACTATTACTACCCAATAATACAAAATTAAAACAAAATCATTCCAAATCCTAAACTTACCTAAAAGTAATTCTTCATTAACTATTACAATCATTCAAAATGCAATAACAAAATTTAAAATTGTTGTCAAATAAAATAAAAACATTTGCAACACAATATCTCAAACTCCATCATCATGAATCACATCCAAGTTCCGAAAATTTCAATTCCATGCATTTGGTTGATGAACTCTGCACAAAAACAAACTGAAAAATAAAAATTTAATCTTTAATCTTCATAATTCCTTTCACAAAAAAAGTGTAAAAGAATAAAGTAATGGAAAGATAAACAAATGTCTATATATTGCATCTCAATATAATAAGAAAATGTGTTGAGTATATGAAAAATTTACCAATGAGCAAATGGATTAGAGTTCAATTATAGTATTAGCATCGACATTATAGGCTGAACTTGAAGATGAGCTTGACTCCAAAGTACCTAATTAAGAGTCAACAAAAGAAGATCAATAAAACTTACATTAGAAAATGAACAATACAAATAAAAATGAAGATTAATAAATTCTCATATTACTCGAGTCAAATTGCTCAAATTCCTTTACATCATCCATTGCCTTTCGAAGAGAAATTGGAAGGTTGTTTCGAAGCCAATTTTGAGCACATACAAAAGCTTCAACCATAGAAGGCGAGAGTGAACTACGAAATGGGTCAAGAATACGCCCCCTCATACTAAAAGCCGACTCCGACGCAACGGTAGAAGTAGGCATGGCTAACACATCCCTTGCAAGTTGCGATAGCACTCTATATTTAGTTGCATTCACCTTCCAATAATCTAAAATCTCAAATGTTTGATTCTTCGCAAAATGTTCAACCTTGGACAAATATTGCTCCAATTCTGACTTAGATCCACTAGTGCATCGCCTCTCCAAATAGGAATTAAATTGGGAGTCAACCAAAGAATAAGGATCATCATCATCATCATTTTCCCCCATATTCACAACTTCGCTCACACTTGGAAGTTTCTCATTTGAAGGATAAAGTGTGACATAATGATTATACAAAACGACTCAAACAACCCTTAACCTTGTTTACCGTATTTTCCATCTTCTTATTATCTCCAAGAAATAAATTTGAAAAGCAAAACTCCAAGTATATCATTTTTTTGGTAGGATCAAGAACAACTGCAACATACAATAACAAATTGATCTTACTTCCATCCCCCCAATACTTGCTAAACTTTTGTTTCATAGTCTTTGCCATTGTGCTCAAAGTATCATCCTCCTCCAAAATTAATTGGTTAAATTTGCTTTCAATAACAAACATTTCTTTGTAAAAAGCATTGGAAGTAACAAAGAGAGATCTCAAAAACTTCTCAGTTACAAGATAAAATAATTTTAGAAACCTCAAAAACAAACTACATTTTTTCCAATCCAACTCATTAGGACTTCTCCTTATGCCACTATCAATATCCTTGAAATAAGGTTCAAAATTAGAATCCACAAACTTCAAGCGGTTAAAATCCTTTTCATACTTTTCGGCTGCCTCCAACATCAAATAGGTAGAGTTCCACCTAGTTGGTATATCTTGGCATACAAGAGCTTTTGAATCAAGTTTGAGTGTGGCTGCACACTTCTTAAAAGCATCTGCCTATGAGGAGAAGACCTCACATATCTCACCGCAAGTTTAATGTTGGCAATAGAATCATCCATTTCTTTCAACCCATCACTCACAACATGATTAAGAATATGTGCACAACAATGCATGTGAATAAACTCATGTTGCAAAATAGTCTCCTTCCAATCTTTGTTTATTGTTCCTCTCTAAAAGAAAAAACCTTTGTTTATTGTTTTCAAATATTGAATGGTAAGATTATTAGAACTAGCATTATCAACTTTTAAGGTGAATATGCTATCAATGTTCCACTCAATCAAACACGACTCAATTTTCCTACCCAATGTTTCTCTTTTGTGATCTTCAACTTGTTGAAAATTTATGATTCTTTTTTAAAGTTTCTAGTTATCATCAATGAAATGAGCAGTTAAACACATGTAACATAAATTCTGAATAGATGTCCAAGTGTCCATAATAAAGCAAATTCTACGACCCTTCATAGCCTTCTTTAACTTATCTCTTTCATTCTTGAATATGCTAAGCACTTCTCTAGATATGGTATGATGAGAGAGGATTGGTGTGTATTTCGGTTGCATGACATTACAAAATTTTCTAAATCCAACTCCCTCTTCAAATCTAAATGACAACTCATCAATGACAACCATCTTCGCAAGAGACCTTTTATAAGCATCAAAATTAAAAGTTATTAGTACAACCTCAACTCCCTCTTCATTTTGTTTCGGTTTAAGATTTAATGTTTCTTGACCATCTCTATCCCTATTTGGATATTCTTTATAATTGGGTGTATGACTCTTCAAATTGCTAGTCTCATGAAGTCTAGAGTCAGCCAAATACTCTTTCTTGCAATATTTGCATACGGCTCTACGCTTCCCATTGATCCCTATAGCCTTAACAAAATGATCCCAAACTGTGGGTGGTGCTCTCCCCCCTCCACCCTCACTCTTTCTCTTTGGAGGTCTAGGAGGCTTAGGTTCAAGTTCGGGTTCGGCTAAGAGGGGATTGATTTGAGAATTAAAGGATTCTTGAGGTAAAAGATTGATTGCGAGAGATTGAACACTATCCTCAATTTAAATTGGATTACAAAAATTACAAATTCAATTTCAATAACATAAGAGATTACATATTCAATTTCAACAACATAATTACAGATTTAATAACATGATAGATTCAATAACATAACAGATTTAATAACAGATTTAATCACCCTCTAACAAATTCAATAACACATATTCCATAACAGATTTAATTCCAATAACACATATTTAATTCTATTAACACAAATTCAATTCCAACTCTCAGATTTAACATAGATTAAATAACAGATTTAAAAAAATAAAAATAAAAAACAGAAATGATAACCCTCTAACAGATTCAATAACACATACTTCATAATAGATTTAATTCCAATAACACAAATTTAATTCCTATAAAATCGATTCAATTCAAACTCTTAGATTTAACACAGATTGAATAACAGATTTAGAACCCAAAAAAAAAAAATGTTAACCCTCTAACTGATTCAATAACACATATTCCATAATAGATTTAATTCCAATAACACAGATTTACTTCCAATAATAAAATTCAATTCCAACTCTCAGATTTAACACAGATTGAATCACAAATTGAATAACCGATTTAAAAAAAAAAAACAGAAATGAACAAATAACCCTTTAATAGATTCAATAACACATATTCTATAATAGATTTAATTCCAATAACACAGATTCAATTCCAACTCTCAGATTTAACACAAATTGAATCACAGATTGAATAATAGAATTTTTTAAGGAAAAAAAAAACCAAACAAAAATGAACAAATAAACTCAAAGACAGAGATGAACAAAAAAAATAAAAAATAAAAAACAGAGTTAGAGACAGAAATGAATAGAAGGTCGGGGAGGGAATGAGAGAGAGAGAGAAAGAGAATCAAAGATAGAAAGGCTTACCTCTGTGAGTTACAAAGCAGATTCGATCTTGTGAAGGTCAATCAGTCTCTTCGCCGGCCGACACACACACACACACACACACACACAGATAGAAGAACGAGAGAGTGAGATTAGAAGAGAGGCTACACACAAAGAGACGCAGATTTGAATGTCCACATAAAAATAGAGATCGGGGACAGAGACAGAGGCAAAGACATACATAGTTGAAGAGAGAAATTTGATCTTGTGAGGTTGACCGGTGCGATGAGAGAGTGAGGTCAATCAGTTGATCTTACGATGAGAGAGAGTTGATCTCTTGCGAGGTTGATCGGTCCAAATGAAAAATGAGAGAGTGAGAGCTGCGCAGATGTGTTTTGAGAGTTTAGATTAGGGTTTTTGTTTGTTTGGTTTGGGTATAGATGAAGTGAAGATGAACGGTCCAGATTTGAAATATAAAAATAAAAAAAAAGGGTTTAATGTGGGCGAGTTAGGAGGGTACGGTTCAAACCAGCGACCCGCTCGCAACCCGAAAATTAGCCAAAATCCAAACCACACCCGACCCTAATATATTTGCGAAACTGCCCATATGCGTGAGGGTCGAATCGGGTAGGGCGGTTTGGGCGGGTCGGATAACCCTATGCCCAGCCCTACATTCTATTAGGATACTTACGTGCAAGTCCTAATCGGTGGACTTACTATCCAATAGATCCTATGATTATTAATGGCATTTTTCATCAAACACTATTAAAAAATGTCACTAATTGTTAATTTTCAGTGATAGTTTGAAACTTTGTCACAACAAATGTCACTAATTATAAGTTTTAGTGACAGTTTAAAATAGTGTCATCAATTTTCAACTTTCAGCAAAAATTTGAAAAATTCGTCATAGAAAAACGTCACTAATTGTAAGTTTTTAGCGACAATTTATAAAAGCCGTGGCAAAAAAAAAAGAGGCTAATTGTCAACTTTTAGCGACTTGTATTCAATAGGACTTGATGAGAATTAAGTCTAACTATTAGAACCTGTTGATAGTTTTTTCCATTCTATGTCTGGTTTTGTGACCCGTTTCTATGTTCCTAAACTCATTCCATGAACAATTTTACTTTAAACACAAAAGTTAAATATAAAATACACATGAATTGACAAGATTTTACAAATTTTGTTTTTATCTATATATATAATTTTGCAATCGATTTATTTGTTCCTAGACTTATTTTGTATGAATTGATTGGCTTTCAGGGTCCTCTCACAAAGATATATCCAGATAAACTAAGACTTACAACAATACAATGCTTCTTTAGCTGCATACAATCGGCAATATGGGCTGTGGCAGTTGAGAGGAACATATCAGCATGGAAACTTGGTTGGGATCTTAACCTTCTTGTTGTGGCCTATTGTGTAAGATATCTTCTTCAACCTTTTTTTTCTTATCTTTTTTTAAATTTTTTTTTTGGGTTGAATTAAGTGTTAATGAAAATGGCAGGGTGTAATTTTCGTAGCGCTGACATACTGGTTGAGAATTTGGGTGATAGAGAAGAGAGGCCCGGTTTTTTCAGCTACATTTAATCCATTAGCATTCATTGTTACAGCCATCTTCTCAGCAATCTTGTGGAAGGAGACCCCTCATTGGGGAAGGTCCATTTTCTCTCCTCTCAACTCTTGTTTTATGCGTTTGTGTCCATGTAATGTCAATTGTTACTTATTTTATTTTTTGTGTTTGTTTGTTTGTGTTCGTGTTGTGTCAATGTGATGTTGTGGCAGTGTTTGTGGAGCTTTACTGCTAGTGGGAGGCCTCTTTGGTGTTTTGTGGGGGAAGCACAAAGAAGCAAAAGCCAAACCATTACTTGAACAAAAATCAGAAACAAAAGAAGCCAAATCAATTGAACAGAAATTAGAAACAAAAGAGGAAAGCGTATAGCGTTGTACAATCAAAATACTGTGTACTCGAAAAAAATAATATGTCAAGAACTTGAGTGTTAGTCACACTATATTATTGACTTTTATAATTACCTTGTCCATGATTTCATGTCGAGGAAAAAAAATAAAAAATTTACCAATAAATCTCAAATAGGGGAATGTTGATCATTTAATCGTAAGAGTTTTCTTATGAACCAATGAATTTATTTTTTTTTTAGAAAGTTGTATTTATTTGATTTGGAGCCATTTAAGTTTAGGTGAATGTCCTTTTGTAATTCATTTTTCTAATTTTCTGATTCGTTTTTTAGATAGAAATGGAAAAGTGAGGTGTGAAATTCTTTTGGGGGGTTGATTTTTTTTGTGTGACTTTCTGGTGTTAATTGGAGTATTTTATATTAGAGTGCTACATTTGGAAAAAGTACATGAAAGAATTTTTGTGTGTTATATTGATTGGAGTGTTCTGTTTGCCAAAAATACACTAAGGAGTTTTTTTAGAATGTTATATTGTTACGTTTGAAAAAAATACACTATGGAATTTTTATAATATGTTACATTAGAGTGTTACAATTAAAAAAATATATAGTAAAGAGTTTTTGTGTTTTGCATTAATTGAAGTATTACGTTTGAAAAAATTACACTAAAGAGTTTTTTTGAAATATATATATATATATTTTTTATCAGCAAAAAAAGAAAACTTTATTAATGAAGAAGCTATATACAAGTGGAGAACATACATCAATAAAGCAGGGGAGTGCAACAAATATCATAGTTAAACTCAACAATCCCAACTAGGTTGGTACCAAAGAGCTAACCTAATCATATGCCAACACATTGCCCAAGATTAGAGAGAGTCCAATCCAACAGCTAGAAAAAAAAAACAAAAAACAAAAAACAAAACACCCTCAACCGAACAAGCAAAAACAACTCTGCAGTAGCAATAACACCTAGCAGCAGCTTTGCATTCGCAAAAAACTAGCAATAGCAGCAGCAGCAGCAAAACTAAGTCCCTACTTCACACAATAACATCCCTGATTCAGATTCTCCACAAAATCATGCACTGAATAAGGGATCGCAGGCAACCTAAACTTCACCCACAACCCAATCCTTACCTTTATAATTTCACCAAGCTTCTCCAAGTTCGGTTGCCTCTCATGAAAAACACAGTCATTTCTTAACCTCTATGCTAACCATAGCATTGCAACTGGTACAAGCCGCCAGATCTTATTAACTGTCTTCTTGAATTGTGTTCCCAAAAAAAGAAAACTTTATTAATGAAGAAGCTATATACAAGTGGAGAACATACATCAATAAAGCAGGGGAGTGCAACAAATATCATAGTTAAACTCAACAATCCCAACTAGGTTGGTACCAAAGAGCTAACCTAATCATATGCCAACACATTGCCCAAGATTAGAGAGAGTCCAATCCAACAGCTAGAAAAAAAAAACAAAAAACAAAAAACAAAACACCCTCAACCGAACAAGCAAAAACAACTCTGCAGTAGCAATAACACCTAGCAGCAGCTTTGCATTCGCAAAAAACTAGCAATAGCAGCAGCAGCAGCAAAACTGAGTCCCTACTTCACACAATAACATACCTGATTCAGATTCTCCACAAAATCATGCATTGAATAAGGGATCGCAGGCAACCTAAACTTCACCCACAACCCAATCCTTAACTTTATAATTTCACCAAGCTTCTCCAAGTTCGGTTGCCTCTCATGAAAAACACAGTCATTTCTTAACCTCTATGCTAACCATAGCATTGCAACTGGTACAAGCCGCCAGATCTTATTAACTGTCTTCTTGAATTGTGTTCCCAACCACCATAGCAGCACTCCATCAACAGTAGCAAGTGTGACCCAAGATAAGCCCCACTAATTCAGCAGAGAGGACCAAACCTTCCAAACCATAGAGCACTGCAATAGAATATGATCCACTGATTCTTCTTCCAGCTTACAGAAAGGGCACAAATTCTCTACACTGCTACTCACAGCCCTAAACCTCTTTAACGTACCAATTGTTTTCACCCTTCCTCTCCATGTCAACCAACTCAAGAACTGAGCTTTTGGTGGAGCTACACCTTTCCAAATCAACCTAGGGACCTGCAATCTTGGGCCTTGATTCGACTCATACCATTCTCTTATTGCTGCCACAGTAAACTGACCATCTAGGGATGCATTCCACCTAATAAAGTCCTTTAGCCCCACATTAAGCCCAAGAGCATCTCTTATCAATACTTGCAACCTACTAACCTCCTCTTCCTCCCAAGCAAGAAGTGGTCTTCTGAATAGTAACTTCCAAACCCCTAAGCTATCCCTCATTTGCATGAAAGAACTCAATGACCTTTCTTTTTCCATAGATAATTGGAACAACTTGGTAAATTCCACTTTCAATTGAAGGTTCCCAAACCATCTATCATGCCAAAAATCAATCCTACACCCATTGCCAATCGCAATCTTACAGTTGGATACAAAAAAAATCAAATAGTCCAAAGTTAGACCTTGACGCACTAAGTATGTCACTCCAGACAATAGATTCATTGCCAATCTCTTCCATCACTGGTAGTCATCTACCTCCTACTCCCCTATACTTGCTTATAATTAATTTTTTCCACAGTGAATTATCTTCCACCCCATACCTCCACCACCACTTAGCTAACATAAAGTCATTTATGTCTCTCACCCTTCTTATGCCTAGCCCTCCTTGTTCTTTGCTTAGAGTTACACTTTTCCAACTCACTAAATGAATCTTCCTTCTTATCTCTGAGCTGCCCCACAAAAATGATGCCTTCAACTTATCAATTTCCTTTGCTACTCTTTTAGGGAGTTTGAAGATGGAAATGTAAAATCCCGAAAGGCTATCTAGAATAGATTTTATCAATGTTAACCTGCCAGCAAAGGACAACATCTTTCTTTTCCATAGAGCTAACTTGGTCTTTACTTTCTCCACCACAAGTTGCCAAGTCTTCGTTCTTCTTGGATCCCAAGTGGTAAGCCCAAGTACTTGAGAGGCAACCTCTGACATAGGCACTTTAGTTTTGAAGCAAAGGCTTGACCATTTCATCACAAATCCCAACTCCACACACCACACTTTTATGGAAATTTATCTTAAGTCCTAACATAAGCTCAAAGCATCTAAGGATTCTTTTGACAATCACAATCTCCTCCCACTGTGCTTTGCAAAATAGGATAGTATCATCGGTAAACTAGAGATGAGACAAGTTCAAACCAGATAGCCCAATAATAGCTCCCTTTAATAATCCAAAAGCTTTTTCCCTTTCCAATAATAGGTTAAGTCCTTCAGCTGCTATATTAAACAACAAGAAGGATAAAGGATCACCTTTCCTTAATTCTTTTTGTGGACAGAACTCCTTGGTTGGCGATCCATTAACAAGTACAGAAAACCTTGTCGTTGTGACACAAGTTCGTATCCAACCCAACCATCTATCCCCAAGCCCAATATTTGCCATCATAGAAAACAAATACTCCCAGTTAACCGAATCATAAGCTTTTTCAAAATCCAGTTTGAGTATCATCCCCTTCATTTTGGACTTCTTCCACCAATCCACCACCTCATTAGCAATCATTACCCCATCAAAAATGTTGCTACCTCCCAAAAAGGCAGTTTGCACTTCACTAATCACATCTGGTAAGACCTTTTGCAATCTTTTTGAAAGTGCCTTAGCCAATACTTTATATACTACACCCACTAAACTTATAGGCATGTAATCAGCCAAACTTGAGGGGTTGATCTTTTTTGGAATAAGGGTAACAAATGAACTATTAAGCCCTATGACCAGCTTACTATTAATATAGAACTCCTGTATGAATTGGAATAGGTCACTCTTCATATACTTCCAACATTTTTGAATGCACGCCATGTTAAACCCATCTAATCCCAGCATTTTATTCCCATCACAACCTTTTACTGCATCCCATACTTCTTCCAATGTAAATTCTTTTTCAAGAAGCTCCACTACTTTTGCATTACTAACTTTCACAAACCTACCAGACAATTTTGGTCTAGATGGCAATCCTCTGAAAATGCCTTTGCACTTCCTGTCTCACCAGATCTGGATCTTCAATGCTAACTCCATCAATTACCACTGAGTCCACCAAGTTCCTTCTTTGTCTTTGACTAGCAATTCTATTAAAGAACCTAGTATTTCTATCCCTATTTTGAGCCCAGTTCAATATAGATTTCTAGAACCAAATTCTGTTTCTTTGGAATATTACGTTGTTACGTTGAGAAAAATACATTAAGGAGTTTTTTAGTGTGTTACATTGGAGTGTTACGTTTGGAAACAAAGCATAATAAGGAGTTTTTGTATGTTACATTGATTGGAGTGGTACGTTGAGAAAAGTACACTAAAGAGTTTTTTTTTTTTTTTTTTAATGTTACGTTGTTATGTTTGAAAAAAGCACACTAAATTTTTTTTTAGTGTGTTACATTGGAATGTTACATTTTTTTAGTGTTACATTAAAGTGTTACGTTTCAAAAAATACACTAATTTTATTTTTTTTTTGAAGTGTTATGTTTAGTAATTTGAACATTATGATAAAACTCACATTTGTCCCTCAACACATAATATACGCACATTTATATTTGGCCCATTATGTAATTCATACTAGAATGAGACATTTGGGTTTATACGAGGGGAAAAAAAAAATAGAATCAAACAGTTCATAAAATCACTATTTGAAATTTATTGATACTTCATCCAAAAAAAAATTTATAGATACATTTAACATTACTACTGGAATCCAATATTGGAGCCCCGTATCGAACTATAAAACCCCAAATTTTGACTCAACAAAGCAAAGCCTACGAGATTTCAAATTTTGAATTTTTGAAATCCTCACTCACAATGCTATAGAGACTAATCCAAAAATTCAAATTCTTTAGAAAATCCTCGATATTTTAGTTTCTACGTAGAGAAGTCATGAGACATCTACTATATGGCATTACAGAAACGTCAAATTTCTTAACGATGTATTTGGTTAGGGGATTTGAGAAGGGATTTGGAAAGGAAAAGAGAAAAGAGAAAAGAGAAAAGATAAGTAAAATGAGAATAAAATATACGCATGTTTCACCTAGTTTACACACCTTTTATCTTTCCATTTTTAAATCCCCCAACCAAACAAAGTATAAAAAAAACACTCAATTGAACGAAAGAAAGTTGAATTCAAATGGTTAAGTCACTAGATTCAAGTTCGTGCTTAGGAACCAAAAACCAGTATGTTGTGCATTCAAACAAAT